TATATATTATGATGAAGATATGGTTTGTATTTGTAGTACTCCTTTTGCATGCACACCACCACAATTTAAAGAATGTATGTTGTTGACAAGAAAACTCTTACCTGGGTGACTCGGATATAGACACAAAGGTCCAGTATCTACCACTATGCGAACCGCTTATCTTGAGGTCCTCTACATTGAGCGTGCATCCCTGGGGAGTTTCGACCGATAGTTTGTTCTGAACTGCTTCAGGTAGTTTGTTCTGAACTGTTTCAGGCTGTTGTATCTGGACTGTATCAGGTTTTATGTTCTGAATTGTTTTGGGATCTATTCCCTGATCTGCCTTTTGTTTAATATATTCCAGCGATTTCTTAACCTCCACAATCATATCTTTTCTGAATGTTCTATCGGTAATGTTACTGTCATACAACGCAAATGAAAAGAAATCAATAGATCAATCACCTATTCTTCATATACAATGGAATAAATATATATAATATTGATAAATTTCTAAAATATCATATTTTATGTTTTGTCTTCTTATAATACCAAATTTTTAAAAAGAAGTTCTAAATGAAACTCAAAAAATGTTTTTTCGAAGAGTTTAGAAATTTTTATGAATTATAATTCCTACAACTAATTTTGGACCATTTCTGAAAATTTTAGAAATTCTTCCCAAAAACTTGTATAGTATTTTTAGAATATCTTAAAGATTGAAGTATTTTGAAAAACCATAGAATAAAAAACGTATATATTTTAAAATACCCCTAAAATGCAAATTTATTTTATTGACATAAGTCTTTTTCAGTTAACTAGTAGTTTATTTTTTTTCAATCTTTTTCAGCTGATTTAATAATTTCTTAAGTTTCGTATGTTTTTCTAAGAAAATGAAAACATACGTAATAAGTTATTCTTTTTAAATTTATAGTGGTAAAACTTTAGTAATGTTTTTTTGTTATTCGAAATCCACAAAGTGATGTATTCTATCAAAATTTTAAGGGAGATTTAGAAAAATGCCACAAATTGGTTCCACTGTTACAAAAATGCCACGCGCGTCCCCCATTTTACAAAAATGCCACAATTTTGTCCAACAAAGACAAGTCTACCCCTTACAGAAAATTCTCTCAAAAGAACATCTTTTCTCTCTCACCATCGCCTTCCGCTCGAAGATCATAGCTTTTACAGAGGAAATCGAAACTGAAACAAATTGAAGCTTTCTAGAGCTCATTCTAGAGGAAATCAAAGTTTATTAGAGGTAAT